ACCTGGGCGGGGATGGAGCGCCGCCCCTGGGCTCGCGGCGCCGCCCGAGACGTACGTGTGCACGGTAGGCGATTCACACCTGGCAGCCTCAGCCGCTGCGCTGGGCACCCCACCTTGGGGCCCGAGGGGCACAAGAACGCTTTTAGCCCTGAACTCCCAGTGACTTTGGAGCTTTCTCCCCCCTCCGGAGCGCGGGCGCAACTCGGGTTTCCCGGTCCGAGCCGGTGGCGCAGAGGTTGCTAGTTCACTGATTGCAATCACCTTCCTCTCCACGTCGTCTGCAGCTGTGCGAGCGGAATTAAGCTGCTCCGCGGCTCGTGCCGGGCAGTGGGTTGGCTTTCTTCTTGCCTCGCTTCTTTAAATTGGGCCGCTCGAAGGTGCCTGTGCTTGTCCGCTCCTGGGCTCTCTCCATCCCTCACCCACCCACCCTGTTTCTCGTTCCTCGTCTCTCAGGTTCGCGGCGGAGTAGATGCTGATAGGGCCCAACTGACCGGAGCCGCCCGGGAGCTAGAGGCGACTTCCTCGGCGTCCTGTCCGGCAGCGCGGCCCGCGCCGGCTCCTCGGATGAACCCTCCAGTTTCCCGACTCTGAGAGGCGTCTCTCCCCCGCCCGACCGCCCAGATGCAGTTTCGCCTCTTCTCCTTTGCCCTCATCATTCTCAACTGTATGGATTACAGCCACTGTCAAGGCAACCGATGGAGACGCAGTAAGCGAGGTGGGTCCCCGTGCTGAAGGCGTGTGGGGTCCCGGGGTGGGTGAGGTGTAGTGACGCTCTTTCACGTCCGGGCTCGGGGGCTATCCCGATGCCTTCCATACCAGCTCTGGCGGGCTAGCCCCCACTTTTCAGGCCTTGGAGTCCTGCTGAAAGTCCTGCCGTCTCGGTCCCTAGTGGGTGCCCTGGGTCGGAGAGAGATGCGCGGGGAGCCCGGGGAGCCGGGCGTCTCCTGGGCGCTCAGGGCCGCGTCCAGTGATCCGCACCCACCTTGATGCCGGCGACTCCCCTCCTGAACTCTTCACGGTCTCATTTTTTATCTGGCATCCCTTTTTCTTGTTCTCCCTGCCCTCTCTTCGAGACCCTAAGTCTTCGCTGCAACTCCCTTTTCTGTACCTGACTTACCCACGTGTGCCCCAAATCCCAGCCTCAGATCGCTTTGGACAAGGCCTAACATCTTTTCCTCTGTCTCTGTCTCCCTCTCATCTGGGGAAGGAGACCAAGTTGAGAGAGAACCTGCGTTTTCAGGGAAAGGACAGCACTGATCTTTTCTGGAGCCTGAGATGAGATGAGCACTTTCTGCTTTGAGCAGCAACTCCTGCGTTGGTTTTGTGGGGGCGTGATCGCCCGCAGAGTGATGTTTTTCAAACAGGCCCCACTTTGCCCTCTCCATTTGCTTCGCTCAAAGGCAGTTCCTGAGGCAGTGATATCTGTGCTCAATGAAATTCACTTGCGGCTTTTTAAACGCCCCTCCCTCCTTCCGCCTCACTT